ATATATATATATATATATATTTTGGCTCAGACATCACGAGCCCTGCCTTCAACTGATGTGTAAGTGTTCTTATTTTTTATCATATGTAGGGTTGTCTCTCTTGTATCTTTTTATAGCTTTTAGATATTGATTGATGATGAGGAGATCAAAACTTGGAAAAATGGATGTAGGAAAAGCGGAGAGGACTGGAAAGCTAAAATGGTGATGCCGGGAGTATTATAAAGTTTTTAAGGGAATTTAAGGCCGTGTTGGGCTGCTACTGGGATCTACGTAAAATAGGATTTAGTAAATGGGATAAATTCTGTGATGGATAAATTCTTTAATTTCATCTTTCATTTGGATTTATTAATTTCAGATTTACGTCTTAACAGAGATGGAACGCGAAAAGTGACAGAATGGGAAATATTTTGATTTAACATAGCCTTGGATTTAATTTTCATTTTTTTTTTTTGGAGTTTGGCTTGATTTAAGTTAAATGCATCCCTAAATCCTGTTAATTGTATGCTGCCAAACACCGCCTTATATTTGATTATTTTCGGGTTGAGTCAAATGGTTGTTCTCCAATATAAGATCAACTACCTTCAAATATTTGCTTATGTTGCAAAAATAAATATGATAAAAATCTTATTTTCTGTAGTATCAAACCGCGGCTTGAGTTTGTAGCAGTGCAGTGCAAACAAACTTTCTAATTGTATAGATGGTGAATTAGATAAGAACAGTGTGTTAAAAAAACCTACTTTATGGCATAAATTAGTCTCTCAACATTTGTTTACGCCGAATTTTTAGGGTAATGAAAACACATATTACAAACAAAATCCAGGATACCATTAGTCTTCTTGAAGAATTGAAATTGCATTGTTTATCAAAAATATCATCTTACATGAATTTACTATTTTACTAGTCTAACTGGATGACAATAGTACAAAGGGATGACTTGCAAAGAGTGAAAGCGTGGAAAAAGATTGTTTATTACAAGAGTTAAGATAAAGAACTGGTCTATTAAGATACTTTCTCAACATTAAAGTTGACACTGACAATATGGGATCTTTGTCTTAACTCATGTAATAACAAAATAACCGGGGCAAATTCCAATAGAGAGACACATTGAACATATTCACAAAATTTATGAAGCTCGAACAGATGTGTTGGGTTTGTGAAGCTGAAGTACCTACAAGCGATCGAGTGTCCGAGGATATGCGCCGAATTGTGGGCGCTACTCAGACGCCAGTCTATAGCGCATATGCGCCCACTTTATGTGGGTGTGCAGTAAAGTTAACGCATAGGCACCAACTTAGGCGCTCGACCCAGAGGCCTTGGCGCTTGGGCACCATGACCGGGCACCTATGCGTCCCGAGCAGTTTTCACACGATTTTGGTTTTAAGGGTCAAATTCAAGTGGCGTAAAGTGCTGACTTTCTGTGCGAGTTCTTCGACAAGTTTTTGACGAATGAAAGAAGTGCTAAAAAAGGGATTTCTGTGTTCTTGACGTACGTTTTTTGCATCGGATTACAGCATGAAGAGTTTGGAAAGTGGTCTTGTAAATTTCCTTGAGAGAGGAGAGGAAATTTGACAATATTCTCTGTGTAAACTTTTTGAATTTCATAATGAAATTTTTTGACGGTAAGCTCCTTAGTTTTTTCCCGTTCTCGGATTTTCCCACTTTAAATTCTCGGTGTTTTTCTGGTTTGTTTTGTTGTACTTTTGTTCATAAATTTGTTCTGGTTTTCTCGAATCCACGCGATCCTATTCTGTGGTGGTGTGGTTTAGATTTTCAAGTTTAAGCTTCGATGAATTATGAGAAGGGACTTCTTTGGAGAGTTTTGTTTTCTCCCAACAAGATGCAATGCTAGATCATGAATTCTATGAGAGATTAGCAGCAAACTAATATACCTTTCTCATAACATATCAAGCATAGCCTATATGATAGGTGCGGTGAGTCAATTTATGCATGGTGAATACAAAATTTTAAAAGTTGTTTGAGGGAGGCAATGGTTTGAAATTGGAGTCATATATATATGTAAGTTTTCCTAAATTTGTTAAGGATAAACTATGGACTTTTAGTTATTGTACATTCCTTAAGAGTCAATTTTGTGATATGGAGAAGAAAGATGCAAAATATAGTTGTAAGATCAAGTTCAAAAGCCGACTTCTTAGCTGTTACTATAAGTTTGTGAACTTTTATGGGTACCAATGACACTAGATGATCTCACAAATGTATGGAAAAAGCCTAAGAAGCTGTATTGGGATAATAATTTAGCAATTGACATTGCATATAACCCTATTCAACATGATTACACTAAGAATACAGTGGTAGACAGATATTTTATAAAATAATATATATAATGGATTTCTCTGTACTCAAATCTGTATTATGAGAATCAACCTGCTGTAAGTTACCTCAAGGATTGGGCGGTTGTTAGCAAGCAGAGAATGAAAACCATCCACACACTAGCTTGAAGGGGGTTAGAATTTGCAAATACAGAAGGACCGGTTATACCAAATCCTAGCCTAGCAAAAAGGGAAAACAGTGCAATTGCAACTGTGTATTTGTTGTGATTAAATGTAGACAACATTTCTAATTTATGGGATTGGGGCTTTAAAGAGTTTCCTTTTATTTTTCGCAGTCTCTCCCATGTATATTTTTATAAATTCTTTGTTCATAGAAATAAAAATTATTGTTCCTCTGTTGGTTCTAAAAATGTCCATGGAGACGCCACCTAGGAAAGAGCCGTGTAAAGTGGGAATAATTAGAAAAGACGACCAAAAAGAGGAGGAAATATCTCTTGGTATTTATTATTGTCAAAAGAGTGGCTACATGGAATTGTTTATGAAATTTCTAGTAGTCCGCACGTGCGCAGATCTCCTAAAATTTCTCTCAGAGGCTCCTTCAAAGTTCTTTCAAAAAAAGTTTCCTCATACATCATGGTAGTCACCTCTATTTATAGGTTGGGGTGGCTTGAGGTGCTCTACAAGCAACTCTACACAAGTAATAAAAATATACTATATGCAGTACATAATAAAAATAGAGATCAATATAGCTAAACGTATGACTTGCACATCTTGTCAGCCTGTTTTACTTTTGGTCGAGTCGATGAAATCCTGTTTTGATAGATTGGCTAGTCTAATCGACTATTTGATTCATAACTTGACTTGAAACTTGACACGTGCGGCACACCTCACCTTAAAAAATAGCCAAAATTTTGAGTCTATCCGTATTTCTCTTAAACAAAACAAAAAAAGAATATTATTATACTTCATCGATTAACATTTACACTTCATATATTAAATAACAAGAAATAAAAAAAGAGGCATCCATAAAAATTTGTAGTTTAAATTCTAATTATAAATATAGTTATTATTTTGACTAAAATTTTTATTGATGATTATTAATCATAATTGGGATTAAAGATAATAACAAATGAGAGAATATAGATATGATTAAAAGATAATGCATGAGAAAAAACAATTCATTATATCGATGATCTAATGAATATCAACTGGGTGACGAGAGTAATAAAAACTTTAAAATAAAAAATTCAAATGTTGATTACTTATATCCATGTTTAACTCAGGATAGTAGCATTCAAAGAGAATTATTATTGCTGAACTTATTTTTATTGTTATTGTTCGATGTTTTAATATTTTATTTTAATATCTTAGATTATTGACGTAGGGCTCTATTGAACCGAGGACTAATTTAATCGGGAAAGCTGAACCGGTATAGGGAAGATGGGTAAGGAGGCTGGCCAGCCCAATTATTTGTGTTAGGGTTGCCGCCCAAGTGCTCCTAGCTATCTATTACTATAAATATGTTCTTTTCTTTATTTATGATTAATTTTAAATTTGAGGTTTTGAAAGCCTCTGAAATAAACCTTTGCATTGGGTGGGTCAGGCTTGGCTTGACTGGGCTTACTCGGGCTTTGACTAGTCATTGCGGGTTGGGGCTGGGTTTGGCTCCGATTTCTATTCAAAAACGCATAGCCAAGCCTGCCAACACTAAATGTCGAGCCGAGTCGGGCCAACCCACAGGTCTTAAAAAGAAAATTATTTTGTTTGAAAAAAAGAAGCAAATGACCTCTCTAATCATCATGATTCACGAATAATACATTCTAAACAGTAAAGACGAAAAATGATAAATAATTTTGCATCAATTAGCTCGAGTTACAAACCAAATGTCAAATGACATGATAAAAAACAAAATATAGGGAAAAAATGGAATTAACAAACTACCAAAGATTGAAAGTAGGCATCTCCATAAAGATGACATTAAAAAGTGTGTGAACCAAACTCTAATTTCACGAACGACAAAGGTTAAACAAACTAGCCTAACTTAATTAAGGTGCATAATCAAGCTCAGTTTGTTAATTTCTCACAAAAATAATTCAAGAATGAATAAAACATTCACTTTTACTATGTATATTACCAACTAAATAAGCAAAGACAACAATAAAAAATATAGACAAAGCATTCTCTAATATTTTTATGACGAGGAAATTCTGATTCTACGCCATTTTGACAAATCCACAACACTTGTAGCCTTCTAGTTAGATTTGCTAGCCTTGCAAGCACCTCCCTAGATAAATGTAATGCCAACTAGCTATGTGATTAGCTACCCTCACAAATTCGCAATTCATCGACTATGTGATTAGCTACCCTCCCTTTAATCATGTCATCAAGAATTATATAATTCAAACTATGTCAAACTCACATTCTAATAAATTTTGAGGATTTTTTGTTTGGACCGGATTAGGTTGTGTCAGGCTTTGACTAAGTCAAAGCGGGCTCGGGTTGGGTCGACCCTGCAAAAATTCTATTTTTCTACAACCAAGTCCGCCCATTCTAAGCAGGCATACGCATAGTCTGTCGGGCCACCAGCTTCATGTGTGAAAAAATTACATGAATTTTTGTATGTTTTGTGCATTTTTTTGAATGAAATTGCACTTTAAAAAAAATGCATTTTTATGTTTTTCTTACAGGTATAACATATATTAGAAGTGGAATAAACTAGAAGAAACATGGAGCAAAAATGAAAGGATTTGGAGAATAAGACAATTGTGAAGACTGAGGTCATGACGCCAGGAATTGTGCGCTTAGGCGCCAGCCAAGTGATGGCAACCTCAAAGTGGAGGCCATGGCGCCAAGAACTAGGCGCCTAGGCGCCGACCATTTGAAGGCCAAGGTCATGGTGCCAGTTAAGTAAAATGCAACCCGAGAGGTTGGCACTTAGGCGCCAACCACTGGGCACCATGGCACCAGTCCTGGAGGCCAAGGCCATGACGGCAGAATAAAGCGGCGCCTAGGTGTCGGTACCAAAATCTAGACGGTTCAGAGCAGTTTCAGAGCGATTTCAAGATAGTTTTCAGGGAGTTATTATGAACACTTGTAGAGAGGATTCTTGCTCTCTCTCTCTCTCTCTGAATCCTTGAAACCCCAAGGAGGTGAAGGAGTCATAGGTAGAGTTAGGGTTTATAGAATTTCATTTTTCTTGAGAGATTGATGAGGAGTTTTGAGAGAAATCTGTAAGGGGATCATTTCAGCTTTGCAGGGAGCACTTAAATACATTGCTGGAGGGACTTTTCATCTCTTTTCAGAGGAGAAAAATTAAGTATTGTGGTACCATTTATTTTTTACTTACTGTAAATGCATATTTAGTGAATTTGCTTTGTTAAATGATGAGGATTTCTATGGTATTCTTCATCCAGATCCTTTACCTTTCTCTTGAGATGAATAAATAGGATTTGTAGAAAGTTAGGATGCTTATAGAATTGGTCTTAAATCGTTAATGTGTTGATTTTTTCTTCTGCACTTAATTTACTTATCATTTTGGTCAAATGATTTGTTAAAATTCGTTGTGAACCCATAATGATTTCGGAGAGCTGTGACATAAACAATTAGGAAGATCACATTGTACTAGTGGGTAAAGGAAAAGTAGTCTATAGGATAATGCAAATAGATAGTGAGATAGATTTTGATGGATATAACTTTAGGGTTTCTAGGGTGACAAACATGAACATTTAATAAGTTAAAACAAACTTACTTACGGGCTCGAAAGAGGGTAAACATGATATATGTTTCTATTTGTCATTAGCTACAATAACAATTTATATTATTCGATCCTACAATTCACTTATGCAATAACAAGAGAAATGTAGCTCTTACATCTTGATATTCATCGAACTAATTGATCTAGTTAGGTTTAGCTTTAGATTTAATGTTGTAATTTATGAGTAGTAGTTAAAAAACCGTCTTCATTGACATTCCAAAATAAGACCTAAAAGTAGTAGACTAGAACTTTTGTCTTAAAGGAGTCATGACCTCATTCTCTGTGGGATCGACAATCTGGACTCAATAAAATCTTATATTATTGAAACGATACGTACACTTGCGTGAGAAACCCCAGTGTGCAAGAACATCTAATTTTTAGAATTCAATTAAGTTGCTAGTGAGCTGATCAAGATTTCTGATGTTATTACTAGGACTTACATTATTGTAATAATCGCTGAGACAGATCAAGTTTATGGTGTCGTTGCCGATGAACGACGGTAAAGAACTGTAGGAGAAATTTAGTTGAACCTATAAGACTTAGATTTGAAACTTGTAGTGTTATTATAATGTGCTTTTAAA